CGTAATAACTTTATATAGCATATATTTATTTATTTATTTATTTATTTATTACACGAGCTGTCTTCGTGCGCATAACAAGTATTGGAAAGAGACATTGTGTTGAGTCCAACGAGTTCATTGGTCAAAATGAGTGCTTCTGGCCATATGTACGATGTTTCTCAAACAAAAACATGAACCCTCACTATTCGAAGCACGCTACGCCAGAGAACGCAATAGCGGACCAGAGATCAGTGGGCGTAGTAAACAATCTGCCTCTTTGGGCGCCCACATAAAAGGCCGCGACTGACAGCTCTTGATAGTGAAGTCGAGCTATTGCCCCCTCTCACTTACAAGGCTTTTTCGAACTCTTTTAATAGCATACCTTGTTCATATTTATATTATTACACCCTCATTTTCCGAATTTATAGCTCATTATTTTTATTTGCTCATAAATTAAGAAAGTTTGCTTTTCATAGTAATAAGTAAACCTTAATAAAACGTACTTCTAGTAACATTTGGCAATTTAAAATTCAATCAATCTAAAATTTACCCATTCAGCCAAGATTGTCAGTAGCCTCTATTCCGCCGCAAAGTTCTAATAAAAGTCTGTCGCCTATTAATAATTGAGTTATTTTTTCAGAAATCAAATCAACTACTACCGCTTACAAAATGAGTAACAATGTAGGTTTATTACTGTACAGCAATTTTTAATTTTGTTAAAATATGTTTTAATTAATTTACTTAAATATGCGTTTTTAGTCTGGAATGTTGGCTAGCGCTGGTGAGAAAGCCCAGGAATTAACTAACAAAACCACCGATATGGTATACGGTGCCGGCGCTGCAGTAAAGGATACTCTGGCGTCTGGATACGGGAAGGTCGCAGATACCATGTCAGCCGGCTATGAAAAGGTTATTTCATTCTGTCAGCTACTGGCCTCAGAATCCACTTAGAACTCCAATGTGGAGCGCATGGCGCATTCCAATTTTGATTAGTAGAGGTTCGATCCTCTAACATTTGATGACTTGGCTATCCGATTTTTAATGTATTGGTTCAGGTTGCTGGTGCCTCACAGGAAGCCGCTGATAACGCTGGAGAGAAAGTCGACGAGGGCAAACGGGCTGCAAAGAACAATTACGAGTCTGCAAAGGATAAGGCTCACGACGGTAAAGAGGCTGCAAAGGATAAGGCCTGCGAGGGTAAAGAGTCCGCGAAAGGTATGCTCCATGAGGGCAAAGAGGCGGCAAAGGATAAGGCTGAGGCTGCAAAGGATAAGCTCCACGAGGGCAAGGAAGCGGCAAAAGATAAGGTTCGTTCCTAAGAAATCATTAACGATGTAATAGAAATATTACCTCATAATAATCTTTCATACACTTTAAAAACCATGATATCACGTCTAGATTTATGTAAAAATCATGATTTTTCAGGCTAACGACGCCCGAGACTATATGGGCAGAGATGCACGATGGGCCACCGAAGCATGCAATCCTAAGCAGATTTAACGGCCTTGTACACTTTTGTAATTAACGAGTTATTTATGTATAGGATTGAATGAATTTACTCGTGTAAATTTCATGTATCTTGTCTTGTTATCATGTTGTGTGATGCTCAGAAATGAAATCAATTTCTGCGATTTGTTGAACGACATCTTTTCCCCCCCCCCCCCCCCCCCCCCCCCCCCCCCCCCCCCCCCCTCCCTGGAAGCTTTGAACAGGATACTGTAGTAATAGTGGGATTTTTCAGGAGTTCTGTCGATCAATCGTTAAGGAGAACTAATCAGCAAGTGGATTTCAAAGAAAAAATCTTTTTCAAAGACCCTCGATGTAAAGAAAAGGGATTTGGGTAAACCGCAGTTGACACAAGTGCAGTGAGGGGGAGGTGTCGTTTAGTTCATGTGGAGGTCGTAGACGCGGTGACGGGTAGTTCTACTCTTCTGCTTTCCTTTGCTGTACGATAAATTAAGATATTAATAATAAATAAATAAATAAATAAGTAAATAAATAAATAAATATCAAGCGTGGAATTGCCAGTGCGTGCACCAGAAGCCGGTATGCGGCCACACGATCACAGATACTTTTTCAACCTTTTTTTACGAGTACATTTTCGGCCGCTTTTGTTTCGTTATGATCCGGTCTGCAACCCGATTCTACAGGAAAGCCATCGTTCTCGCTGGTCGCTTGCTTATCGAACGCGTTAGCTAGTCAACAATTGATGACAAACAACAATAATGAAGGATCCAAAAATCAGTTTTAAACAGCATTCGGGTGGAAAGCAACGATCGTAAAAAAAAAAAAAAAAAAAAAAAAAAAAAAAAAAAAAAAAAAAAAAAAAAAAAAAAAAAAAAAAAATATTTTTTCTATAGCCCTTTTAATCTCGTAACTTCACATTTGTTGATCAGTGTTGAGTGTTTTTGAGATAGCAGAGAATATTTGCAAAATACTCCACCCTGTCACAGGTCCCGATTGGTTGTGGGATATTTTGCCGAATATTCATCATGGATTTCAATACGTATTGAATTCGAACATGTCCACGTTGAAGCGACGGCCAGAGTCAACCGTGCGTTGCGCAGTTTCGCCCGATTAGACACGTTCTCTCGCGCGAACATTCACACTCGCATGCTCGAGCCGTCTGTGTCTCCGCCCATACAGCGTGCGTTGAGGATCTCTCAACGTGCCGTTGCGAACTGCGCAACGCAGGGTTGACTCTGGGCAGGCTCGAGAAAATCTGAGCAGTACTGCGTCTGGAGGCTGAAGTGCTGCTCGTGGACATGGGGCGAGGGGAGGGGAACATTCAAAATTGAGGACCGTGATGAGGTAACACTGTAAGCCCACGAGATGGGTGAAACGCTAGGGAGGACAAAAATTGTTCACATCCGCTCCCACAATCCTTCTTCCTCCCGAAGGTTTGATCTCAAGTGCTATAACTGGCTCACTCGCTTATGTTCCCCACCTAAGATATGAGCGCCAAGGAGCGGCACGGGACAAAGGCCGTAAAAATCCATTGAAAATAGTTGTAAGGAGCTGAAAACATATAAACATGAATATGACAATGGTGGTTGCCATAAAAGGGAAACCTAGAGAACAATCAGGTTCTGGCTGCCGACAGCGATTGAAAAAACTACTGCGAATTTCAATCATCACCATCAAGAGAGATTATACACCTATCACCGTGTTGCACCCGTAATTGCCATCCTATGGCCATCCATGTTGGTCTGCACGAAGCAGAGATCTGGCAAAGTGTTTCGAGAAATTTCATCAAGATCAATGAAGTAGAGTTTTCAGCAATTTTTGAAGGGCTGCAGAGTTTGTGTCGCCATTTCATCTACATTAATAAAGATTGGTGGTTGGAGCACTTGCGGATGGAGAGCACTTTGGTTACCGTCTCTCAGTCTCTCAAGGATGCGCCACGTGATCAACCTCCATTCAATATCGTATAGGAGGGACGTTTTAGCTTGCTAGATGATCTGATATTGCCGTTTATTCAAGTCTGTTTTGACGTCTTACAAAATTCGCTACTAGCAAGATAAATGAGTGAAAGTTACGTTTTGCTAACCAGGAAAGGATGGTTGGTCGTAAAGCAAACTTAGACATATAGTTTTGTAAAAGCTAGCTCTCCTCCAACTCTGCTCCACCTTCTGATAAATTAATGTTTCGGTGAAAGTACCTGGGGTGGGGGCACTCGCATGAATAACGTATAAGAGCTTTCATGACATGTAATCGATTCATTTGGAATTATAATGGATAAGTACCGGTGTGTAGAAGTACTAGTAAGGTGCTTTCAGATTTCTGCCTGCTGCGGGCCAAGAAAATGGTCCTGAACTAGGGTGTGGACATCGTTATGCCCGGCGCAAGGGTACAGGAGCACAGGGTGAACGGTAGCATGCCATAAATGTCTAGGATGTAAGCACGGTGTTCGTGATGTGGGACATGCACCGGTAATAATAAAAGTGCGCTCGAAATGAGTCGTTTACCTATTATCTTATCCACAGGGTTGAATTCTCAAAAGAATGCTTCCTAACTCGTACCAACGAAACAGGAATCCCCCCAACTCAGTTGAATTGTCTTTCGGTTATTTCTTTCTTGGACCACCCAGCACTAGGTGTAATCGCAGTAAAGTATTTCTTCAGGAGGAATCGAAACGCGACCATTTGTTGGGAAGTTGCCGCTAGCCCCTAAATTTTGACAAAGAAGGCCAGAGCGCATGGGCATTCTGAACATGGCCTGACAAAAGCTCACATCGCTCCTATAATCTTGTGCACAGGTCCGATGTTCTGTAGTGGGAACTCAGCATCTGGTGGCTGCAACTTGGGTCGACTAATTTTAGTAAGATTTTTGCGCTGTTCCTACGGGCTAATACTTTTGACATCAGATGCACCAGCTAAAGATTCCAGGTCCTTCTTGCATGAAAAATGGTCCTTGTGTGAAACTAGACTCATTGATCAAAGTGAGTGCTTCTGACGATATGTACGATGTTTTTTAAACACATATTTATTCATCTAGTGAATCATAATACTTAATCTACTATTCGAGGCTTCCCCTGTTTACCATCACGTGTTGCTATGACGCGGCGCTAGAAAACGCAATAAGGGTTCAGAGATCACTGGACGCAGTAAACAATCTGCCCCTCTGAAAAACCCTATAAAAGCCCGCGACTGACAGCTCTCGACATCGAAGTCCCTCTCTGACTTACAAGGCCTTTCCCAACCTTTCTAATAGCATGCCCTGTTATTATTTATAGCATAATATCCTCATTTACCGAGTTTATGGGTCATTATTTTATCAGCTCATTATTCTTACTTAAAAAGTCTCCTTTTCATAGTTTAACATTAACCAAACTTGCTTATAGTAAATTATCTTCTAGTAATTTTTGGCATAATTCCAGCTGTAACTTACCATTCGGCCAAGATTATCAGTAGCCTCTATTCCGCCGTAAGTTCTAATAAAAGTCTGTCGCCTATTAATAATTGAGTTATTTTTTCAGAAATCAAATCAACTACTACCGCTTACAAAATGAGTAACAATGTAGGTTTATTACTGTACAGCAATTTTTATTTTGTTAAAATATGTTTTAATTAATTTACTTAAATATGCGTTTTCTAGTCTGGAGTTTTGGCTAGTGCTGGTGAGAAAGCCCAGGAATTAACTAACAAAACCACCGATATGGTATACGGTGCCGGCGCTGCAGTAAAGGATACCCTGGCGTCTGGATACGAGAAGGTCGTAGATACCGTGGCAGCCGGCTATACAAAGGTTATTTCATTTCTTCTAGCCACTTCTCTTAGAATCCACCTGAACTCTAGTGGAGTGCATGGCGCATTCCATTTTGATTTCGGGACTCGATCCTTTGACCTTTGACGACTTGATTATCAAAATTTTCAACGTATTGGTTCAGGTTGCCGGTGTCTCAAGGGACGCCTGTGAGACTGCTGCAGAGAAAGTCGACGAGGGCAGAGAGGCTGCAAAAGAAAATTACGAGGCTGCAAAAAATAAGGTCTATGAGGGCAAAGAAGCTGCAAAAGACAAGCTTTACGAAGGCAAAGAAGCTGCAAAGATAAGGCTGATTATGCAAAAGATAAGGTTTCTAACTGACAGGGCAAAGAGGGCTGCAAAGGCAAGCTGCACGAGGCAAATGAACTGCGAAAGATAAGAGTTAATTTTGTCAACAAATTAAACTACAATAATAATGGAAATATTACATCACCGCACGTTTACAAAGTTCCAAATTAAGCTGTATCGTAGAAGCATGTATTAAAAATGATTTTCAGGCTGAGGAAAACCGAGATTACTTGAGCGAAATGATGGATGAGAGTGCAAGTGCCATCGAAGCCTAAGAAAATTTCAGCTCCCATGTACACTTTTGTAAATAACGAGTTATTTATGAATAGATTTGATTGAAGGTTACTCGAGTAACTTTTGAGTATCTTGCTTTGTCATCGTGTTGTGACAGAAATAAAAACAGTTTTGGATATTATTGAATGGCATCTCACAGACCGTTTGAACCTGAGTCAAAAATGGGGTTTCAGCGTTATGGCATGGCCAAACGTGCACAAGATTAATACCCACGTGGATGTCATGGTAAAGAGTCAATTTCAAACACTTTATGGTCCATGGGTACGTGGCATTTCTCCTCCTGGGTCAGGCCACCACAGTTTGCGCGATCGTGAAATGAGTTTTATGGTTCACGCCCCCCGCTCTCTCGCGTTCGGCACTCAGGTTAAGGTTCAATGTTTACACACTGTCTTGTTGCTCAGGCTATGATTCGCGGCCTAGGCCTTAGGTCCTGAAAGCTTGCTCTGAGCGGAATCCTGACGGCGCTCAATTTTGGGTTTGTACCTGACGAAACGCTACCGAACCCATGAGTCCATGGACAGTTTTACGTATTACAGCATACGTTGTTACGAAGGAATACACGGACCATGGACCAGTGGGCGGGACCGGAAGTGGTTTTGCGACGAAATGCATGGTAGGTACGGATCCACGTTCATGGGAAGGTTTGAAGTGAATCCTGTTCACGTTCGTGCGTTCGACACGTGGATCCGTACCTACCATGCATTTCGTCACAAAAACTTCCGGTCCCGCCCACTGGTCCATGGTCCGTGGAAGATTCCTTTAAAGAGGACTGGTTAAGTTGAAGGAGGTTGGTCTTGCGGCGGGTCAAGCGCTCCTCATTTGGTAAAAAACGAGGCAGGTCCGAGGTCGTCATTGTCCCAACGACGCGTCGTGGACAGAAGCTGCCACTTGCAGTGACAATTGTGGGGACACGACTTTATAATGAAATGAAATCAGCGAATTAGAAGCACGGCGCAGCCGTAGCGCAGACATGTTACGAACTGTTGATGTAAAGCAAGGTGGTGGTTCTTCGAAGGGAACTATTTCTCACGGGGCCATATTCCTGTTTTTCTTTGAAAAGCGTACGGTTTCCGCTTGGAAAAGGCCAGTTCTAAGTAAGGCCACCAAGGCAGTGACTTGACAATGTCCGTCACTGACTTCGATGCCTACGGACAGGCCGGTGGATCTTGGAAGGGACGTATCCTCCCCCCCCCCCATCCAAAGCATATCGCCTGTTTTTTCCTTGAAGTCTTCGAAGGGAAAGTTTCCCACAAAGCAAATTTCAACAAATATCGAAGGCTAGTGTTGATCCTAGTGGAAGATGTAGCTGTCTACTATACGATCTCTAATTCATAGTGAATCCACATTGTGCAACAGAGTTTCTCAGCAGATCGCAGCTTTGCCGCGGATTCTGAAAATGGTCTCAAATGTCCGCCGATCACTAGAAAGTGGAAGTGGTTATAAATTCTTCAAAATGCTCGATATTCTTTTGAGAACATCTAACCTTCCGTCAAGTTCTCAGCTGTTACATTCAAATTCGGCGTTGGCATTCTGACGATCGAGATCAGTGTCCCCTGTACCAAGAAATCAGAGTTACAGGGTCGCAATGCGATTTGGGTTCACTGATGACCCAAGGCGACGGTACGCACGACAGTAAAACGTCCATTATCACCCGATTGCTATGAGAGGTGCAGACGATGCCAGACAACGAGTGGGATGCCTAATAAATATTTGTCATGCAGGGAGGTTTTGGCGGCTCAAGTCAGAAGGCAGGGTCAACCGTTACGTTGGACCGATATTGGAGCGACGTTGGACCGATGTTCACCGCTCTCCGCGCCGGCATTCACTCTCGCCACCCGCGAGCCGTCTGTGTCTCCGTGCGTACGTTCACTCTCGGCATTACTCTCGTCGTCGCGTTGGACTTTGTCCAACGGACGGTTGACCCCTGGATAGGGGGGGGAGTTCCATAGCGCGGCCTTCCATGTTATAACACGGATACGATTTTTGGCTTTCTAAGAATGCAGTAATGAGTAAATCCTGGGAACCACATGACAACACATAACAAGAAAATTCAAAGAAACACTGGATGAAAGTAGGCAGACAAAGATAGGATGAAACGGAAGAGAGCGGTCGCTTGGGTGACACTGCTTTGTGGGATAGATGGTTAGCCTTTGGAATACGACTTGTTCGGAGTTAAGCAACAACGTTATTCGTGTAGTAGTGACTCCTTGCAGCATCCAATCTCATCTGCAGAAATTGGCTGACATAAGCGATTTGTGGCCTAGAATTTGATCTAGGACAATGCAAAGCCTTAGCGGCCTTGGTATCTCCAGGTACGCCATGCTCTATCTGAGTGGGGAATTTGAATGAAAGTTGAAAGCAAAACATAATTCAAAGCAGGTAGTAAAACACAGAACGATGTACATTGACCAGAAAAATGAGAAACGTCAAAGAGTTACTGGGGCTGAGTTGGGAAAATGGTGCCCCGGTAGCGTAACTGGTAGCGCACTTGCCCGGAAAGCGAGAGGTGCGGGTTCTAGTCCCGCCTGGGGCGAAAGTTTTGTTCACAACCCAGCATTCTTGTGAAACATTCGCAACGCGAACTGCGGCGTTAAAACAGCAGTTAACAAACAAAAAAGTTCAAAAGATTTTATTTTTATGGGCTGACGGCTAGATGACAACTTTGATTCTTAAATCCCAACCCAGAAATAGTAGTTATTACTATATAAATAATGTGTTATGAGCAAGGTTACAGGTGTTGAAAGAAGTGAATATTTCAAATGAAATGAAGTAAAACAAGAGGTAAATATAATACTCCGTGACCGAGTGGAATAGTGTAGGATTTACTCTCACGGACTATTCGGGTTAAATCGCCCCACACTATTGAAGAACTGTTTTCGGACTGTTGTCAGAGCAGGAATTTTATAGATTCTACATATTCTAGCCTAACTCAACCCTCAAGCTGGCGCACTACTTCAATTTTCTTACCATCAGGCATGCATTGTATCGAGCAGGATAGCTCTTTTCACTACGGAAAGGTAGCAAAACTGGGTTATGTGGTTGAAAGCGCTCGTTCACAAAAACGATTTTCTCTGCATTATTTTTTCGCTTTCAGAAAAGACTTGAAGATTAGTAAGGTACCTTTCTCACCTCAATTCTCCATCCATAGAAACCGGAGATACGAAAACATTAGAAGACATGCATATGATATAAGTATTTGAAAGGAATTTTCAAGTGTAAAACAAACTGCTCAAAAAATCGTTTCGGCGAACACTTTTCAACGCTACTGTAGGTATCGATCCACTGACTCCCCCGTCGGAATCGGGGGATCAGGCGAACTAAGTGAATTCGCAGGGGTAGGAGGCTTCAAACATGTCTTACGCTGAAGCAACGGCTCAAGAAAACCGGAGCAGTACGCTCTGTGGAAGCAGAGCAGGTGCGAGGTGAGGGAAGCGGGACATGCGAAACAGGCCCCTTGACAACAGCCAAAGAGGGCACTCCTACTAAGCCTAGGAGAGGGAGAAATGGTAGGGAGGACAGAAATTGTTCACGTTCTCTCCCAGAATTCCTTCTCATCTCAAGGTTTGGTCTCAAGTACTGTAAGTGGCTTAGTCACTTGAATCCCCCCTAAGGGCATGAGCACTGAAGAGCGGAATTGAGTTCAAACTTTTTTACAGGAATAAATGCTGCAAAAATTCATTGAAAACAGTTGTAACGAGTGGCCGAATCCATGTTAACATGGATATGAAAATGGTTGATTGCCATGAAAGGGAAACCCAGCGAAGAATCAGGTTCTGGCTGCCAACAGTGATAGAAAAAACTACAGCGAATTAAAATCGTCACATTCAAGAGAGTTCATACGCCTGCCATCGCCGTGCCCCCAGCTTCCATCCAAGTGGTGTCAGTAGTCCAAGGTTTACTTGGAACATCTGGGTCTCATCCGGTAAGAGGGGGCATTGCGGTGCACGGTCTGCTCTAATGCCAATTTGGCTCAAGGAGTCCTTTAAAGTTACGAGCTGCTATCAGCTTTTTTCCTATGTTATTTCTTCAGGTGTTTTGTGTAATGTATGTATTCTTGTACTAGATGACATTAACGTCTACGAGAAGTGAAATTCACCTAGTTAGCAGGTCAGGACTAAGCCTAGAGGGGAGGGAAGTAGTCCGGGGAAACAAGAGTGCCTCACGACTGAGGGCTCCTTCAGTTTTAAGGCGCAGATCTGAACGTCTATAATAAAAGTATATGCTTTCTATGGTTTGAAATGCTCTAGATCGCTATGCCTTCCCCCTTACTGATAAGACCCGAAAATTTTTCAGTGGGAATCAGTGAAATACTTTTTGAGCAATCGCTTGGGGTGTTGAAGAGTTTTGTCGCATGTCGTATATAAATATGGGCCTGAGAGATGATCTCTTCGTTCCTATGTTTTCACTGTCTGTTCTGACAGCTGCTAGAAATTGCTATCACAGATTGAAGGGTAAGATTGTCTTGGCGCTATTGCAGATACAGGCTCTTCTAGAACTAGGACTAGGCAGGACAATCATGAACTTCCAGGGAAAATGACTATTAAATTTGGGCTAACCCTTCCCTTAGTCCGAATCATAGCTCTTTTTCATATGAAGCGATTGTTCTTATAATGCCTCAAATATATACAGTAGTGGCCAGAAATTTATGAACAAACGGTTTTTTCATGATTTCTCTTTTGAAAGTCACTGGAACGTCTCCAAATTTGCAACAATTATTAACTACGTGTTTTGTGATCCACACAGAAAATTTCAACCTTCAGCTCAAATTTGGGTTTAGAAAATTTTAGATTTTTCGAAATTAATGAAGGCAGGTGAAAGATCACTTGATCCGTTTATTGATTAATAATGTATAACCCGAAGAATCTAGTAACAGTTCACTAACATTAGGCACAAGTTAGCATCTTGCAGACTCTCTAACTATTGGATCTAAATTGATTGTG